CCTTTTCCCTCCCAAATCACCTGACCTCCAACTAGCCATCTTCCCATTGCTCTAAAGTGCCACCATTCCCACCTTTGCTTGGGGACTGCCCTACTGGAGCTCTCTGACTCAGGTCTTCTTCGGAGGGGGTGCAGTTCGAGACAAGGTTCTCTGTGTAGCCCTGGCTGTCCTGGATCTCGCTCTGTAGACCAGGCTGGCCTTGAACTCACAGAGATCCGCCTGCCTCTGCCTCCCGAGTGCTGGGATTAAAGCTGTGTACCACCTCCGTGTGGCTCAGATCATCTTTTCATTGGTTTCCTCTCCCTCTTTGCATCTAAACTCAGGGATTGTTTCTATTTTTCCCCATCAAGACACATACCACTGAATCATTCCCTATCACATTTCTCTGTTTATATTCTTCATAGCGCTTGTCACTAGAGGAAATTAATGTATTCTACTTATTTTGCTTGCTTGTCTCTTTTTCACACTGGCCTATAAACTATATGAGGTCACAGACAGAATTCTGTCTTGCTCTCTGTTGTATTCCTATCCCTGGGAATAGCATAGACTTCCAGTTGCAAACAAACAGATCTCTATTTAACACCTTCCGCACTTCACTACATCGCCTCTGGCTGATGATGATTTGAACATCACTCTGTCCTTGTGTCTGGAGATAATGTGAACTCATGCAGGAGAGCAGCTAGCCCTCAGCGTGGTGGTTGATAACTGGAGGGTGAGAGCTCGGCTCTGTGCTTGTTGTTCAGAGTTGTGGTTTTGAAAATTAGAGAAATGTCACCTGTCTGAGCATTGTCCAAGGTCAAGGTAGAAAACCTGGGCACAGTGACTGATGCTGAATGTCTTTATGTATAAGTTATCACTTGTGCTATAATAAATTATTCCCAAACTCAGTGCGGTCCTCTCATTTAGGGACACTTTTTTGGTTCACTAGAAATTCATTGAGAAATATGGGATAGGGTGACATGAATGAAGAGCAGAAAACAGACCAGGAATTAACATCCATTTCTTACTCCTTGTCAGTGGCTAGGGATATTGGTTAAGATGAGGCCTCAATATAGCTGGGGACTCTTGTGATCCATAAGTAAAAGAGATCTATGCTTATAGTGATGATGAATGTGGTGATGGTGGGAACCAGGCATTCCACAAATATTTACTGAGACCTACTGTGAGCCATCATTGACTAATGCACACGACGTCAAAATAAGGACAACACAAACTCTGCCCTCCAAGTCTGAATCCCAAAAGGAGGTATGGAGAAAAGGACACTATGTTCCCTTCTCATGAGCTCTTAGCCATTTGAGACTTAATCTCTGCCATCAACTTCAACAAGAGCTTCTCAAAACTTCTTCTTGTCCCAGATGTTCAGTCTGGTGCCTGTTCAAAAATGGCGTCAGATGGAGAGGGAGTCCTCTGCATATGTTGGGGGTGGTGGATGGGGAGGGAGTCCTCTGTGTGTGTTGGGGGTGGTGGATGGTGAGGGAGTCCTCTGCATGTGTTGGGGATGATGGATGGAGAGGGAGTCCTCTGCATGTGTTGGAGATGGTGGATGGAGAGGGACTCCTCTGCATGTGTTGGGGGTGGTGGATGGAGAGGGACTCCTCTGCATGTGTTGGGGGTGGTGGATGGAGAGGGACTCCTCTGCATGTGTTGGGGGTGGTGGATGGAGAGGGACTCCTCTGCATGTGTTGGGGGTGGTGGATAGTGAGGGAGTCCTCTGCGTGTGTTAGAGGTGGGCAGTGACAGAGTTCAGACAGTTTGAAACAGTTCTGATGCTTTAAAGATATCTACAAGTTTGGGATTCAGGCTCAGCTAAGCTGGGCCCTCTGGTTCAGGCACTTTCATGAATGTTTATAAAGAGGTAGGCCAATTCTGACACCATATCAAAGCTCAGCTGAGGAAGGATCCATTTCCAAGTTCACTTACACAGTGGCTGTCAGGGTTCAGTCCATGGACTGTCAGCTGATGACCTTGGTTTCTCCGGCTGTTGAATAGCAGATACTTTCTGTTTCTTTTTCTCTCTTTTTTTGGGGTTGAGGGTGAGGGGTTGGTTTTTCAAGACAAGGTTTCTCCTATATCAGTTCTGGCTATAGTGGAATTGCTTTGTAGACCAGGCTGGCCTCTAACTCACAGAGATCCGCCTGCCTCTGCCTCCCGAGTGCTGGGATTAAAGGCGTGTGCCACCACCACTCTATTTACTTTCTGTATCTTATCATGAGACCCCCTCAGTAGCTCACAAGAGACAGTGCAACTATAGGGAATGTCTTTGTATGCTGATCTCTGAAGTAATACTCCATCTCTGTTTACATGTAGTAAAAGCCAGTTACCAGGCCCATCCACACACCAGGCCATGAATCTTAGGAGGTGGGGATCAGTGGGGACATTTAGACATTCTCTGCCCTAAGTTAGCTTGAACTTTGAACTGTCTCTTGACTTGATCGACTACAGTGTAACAGACAAATAACTATGTAAGGGCTCCACATGGCACCTGGGATTTAATTAAAAGCTGCACTGTGTTGCAAGACTCCAGGTTCAGGGTGACTCTTTGTAGAATCTCACCTCTGTAGCTCTCCAACTGCATGAGCTTTGATTGGTTTCTTCAAGTCAAAATTGGAAAATAAAGGCTACTACCTAAGAAATAGTGAGAATTAAAAAAAAAAAAAACCAAGTCAGCTACCCCGGTTCAAATCTGTCATTCCAACATTTGAAAGCTGAGGCAGGAAGATAAAGAGTTTGCAGAAGGCTTGGCTTATAATAGTGGGTTCAAGGTCAGCCTGGGCTACAGTTGAAACCCTTTTATTAAAAAAAAAAAAATCGCTTTAGTGACACTTGTCCAAATATATGTTCCTAGGTTGCTCTCCAAGAAATTCTTTTTCAGTAGATCTGGAAGTAGTCTCTACGAATTTTTTCTTCCTCACTTCCTCCCTCTCTTCTTCCTATCTCTCTTTTTCCATCCTTCCCTTCCCTCCCCACTTCCTCCCTTACTCACCCCCCCTTTCTTCCTGACACTATTGTACTATGTAGCCCTGGATGGTCGTGAACTCACAGTCCTGCCTCCCCTTCCCAGGTACTGGGATCACAAATGTGTGCCGCCATGCCCAGGGAGAATTCATCTGTTTTTCTTTAAATTTTTTAGATCCGTTTATTTTATGTATGCGAGTGTTGTGCTGCACGTATATATGTGTGTATTTCTTGTGCACGGATGGTGCCTGTGGAGGTCAGAAGAAGGTATTGAATCCCTTGGAACTGGAGTCATGGATGGTTGTAAGCCACCATGTGGGTGCAGGGAACTGAGCCCGGGGCCTCTGCAGGAACAAAAAGTGCTCTAAATCTCTCTCTGATCCTTTTCTCCAGCTCCAAGAGTTTCTGTGTTTTTATTTTTTAAATTACTCTTTCTCCCTCCCCTCTGTGTGTATGTGTGATGTGTGGGTACATATGTGAACAGTACACGCATGCGTGTCAGAGGACACCTTTACATGGATTCCAGGGGTTGAACTCACGTTGTCAGGCTTTTGCAGTAAACACTTTACCTCCTAGACCATCTTGCTGGTCCCAAGAATTCCTATTTTTTTTTTTTTTTTTTTTTTTTGGTTTTTCGAGACAGGGTTTCTCTGTGTAGCTTTGCGCCTTTCCTGGAACTCGCTTTGGAGACCAGGCTGGCCTCGAACTCACAGAGATCCGCCTGGCTCTGCCTCCCAAGTGCTGGGATTAAAGGCGTGCGCCACCACCGCCCGGCTCGAATTCCTATTTTTTAATGAGTATTCTAAGTACCTATGAAGAGGGTGTCCGGTCCTGTATAGAATAGATGTTAATAATTTGCATAGTAATAGAAATTCTGCAATTATTATGCATTTGAAGACAGTCAATGAAGGTATTGCAAAATTTGGAAAACAAATTATAGGAAAGATTAGAATACGGATGAATTATGTATAGTACTCATTTGCTGTGTGATCTAGCGCTCAGAGCTCTCCAATTCCTGTAAAACCTCCTCTGTCTTTGGCACACTCTGTCTAGGCAAACAAGAAACAACAGCCGGGCTGGAGGCCCTCGGAGCTTCCCTGTTCAGAGAATTAAGCACAGCAGCCTCTCGAATGAGTCATCTTGGATCTCTGGGGTCCTAATATTTCTTCCTAGACTATTCCACCGACTTCTCATTCCTTCACTCTTCTTGAAATTCATACGACCCCAGCATCTTTGTGTGCATTGAAATATATCCGAAAACAACCTCATTTAAAAGAATAAATCCATTAAGGAGCTGAGAACTTTCTGGCGTGAAATGAAAAATATTGATTGCTTCCTACCTGTTAGCAATGAAATCCCATCCAGTTAATTAACCTGCTCAGCGATAAAGTTTATTTTTGCCCTTCACCTTCGGTTCCAAATCTTTAAAGCCATTAAAACAAGTACCTGGTCAATGAATAAATCTTCTCACAGTGAGGCATTTAGAACCTTCTGGAATCTGGCACCATTCACCTTTCTGCCTTTACGTTTAGCTGCTTGCCTCCAAGTACCTTCCAGCTCAGCCGAATGGAAGGGCTGACGTAGTGTGTTCCTGTTGCCAAGAATTACTTTCTTCTTCTGAATTCAACATCTTTTAACTCAGTTTGGATGTCATTTTTTGAAAAAGGCTTTCCCAGAACTCTGGCACCCATCCCCACCTCCCCCAACCTCTTCCCACCTCTTCTAATTGCTGCTAAACTGTAGGTATTACCTCCCTATCCTGAACACTCCTGAAACTTTTTATATTTGGGTAGCACTTATTGTGTGCCTTACATTATGATTATGGGTGTATTTCTAGTATGAGACTCCCGGGGATGCCATTCTAACCAATTCATTTTTGTGTTCCTGTGTCTTCCAACACCATTCCTTACCTATGATTGGTGTTCAGTAAATGTTTTCTGAATGTTTAAGTGGAGACCCATTGATTTAACATTTTCTTTACGGTTGTTTTTCCTCTCGAGGCTCATGATTCAGCAGTAACATAGAGGGAGTCTAATTCAGTGAGATGTTTTTCAGGACTTGTATTACATTCTAAACAGAATTCACAAGGATCTGTCTTTCTATAGACAATCCAATTGTGTCCCCGCCCCTATCATTAGCAGCTTTCTATTTACAGATATCTTTCACGTGGAGCAAAACAGTCTGAACACAGAGGCTCCAAATCTCTCTGAGGTGCAGCTTTTCTACCTCCCGCCACATTTTACTACACAACACAATTGGAATGAGCATTTCATGGCGATAAAACCTTAAAACTCAATTTTAGATGCGACAGGTACTCAGTCGTGTTCACACTGATGGGGAGAAAGACATAGCTTCACTGAAAAAGGCCATCGATCTGTTGAGTCCTTTCCCTGATCACCAGCTGGACTTCAGGTGCTGCTGATAAAAATACAAATACTGGTCCATTCAAGGAGCTCTGAGTCAGATGGAGGGAGACAAACGCGTGATGAGGTCAGTTTTATAGAGAGTGACCTCCACAGTGCCAGAGGCAGATCCAGGGTGGTGTAGAGTATAGATGCTTTCAAAGAGTTCATTTTGCAGCAGCGTTCATACAAGTATCAATAATCTAAGCATTATTTTATAGTTATTAAAACAGTGGCATTCTTTTTATTACATTTATTTGTTTATTGTGTGTGTGTGTATGTGGGGGGGAGCATGTGTGTGCCACAGTACACACGTGGAGGTCAGAGAAAAACTTGCAGGAGTTACGTCTCTCTTTTCACTAGGGATCCCTGGGATCGAACTCGGGTAGGTCAGGCTTCGTGGTGAACACTTTCCCCTGCTTACTGGCCTGGCATCAATTTCAAATACTAACTTTGAGCAGGATCTCGGCAATCACGTCAGCTGCTGGGACATGATTTAGCCAAGCAGTTACGCTTGGTTGACCAAGACCTAGATATAGGCCTTTGCTCCCCAGGGCTCAAGGGAATGAATCATTCATGGAGACACCAACAAAAGGGGCAGTTTTCTTATGATTCATTGAGCTGAACTTCATGCCAACGATATTCTGGTGTGGTGATTTTACATTCTACTCTGTCTATAGCTTCAGAATTTCTAAATGCATTAGCATAATTAGCTCAGCTGTGTTGATGACTCACTGGAGTGTGTTCTCTTAAGTCTGTGACCCTATAGGAGTGGTGGGGGTGGGGTGGGGGGGCAAGGAGAAATTCTAAATTATAAATGCCCAAAGTCTGCAGATGTAAACACTGAGTATTTATGCAGCCTTTTTAAAAATTTCCTTCTCTTTTGGGTTCATTGCATTTAGAGATACTCTTCTGCTCATTAGAAATTCCTCCAGAAGGATGGGTAGGGCAATACAAGTCAGAAGAGGAAAAGGTAGAGGAAATTCAAATCAGTTTCAAAGTTCTCCTTGCTGGTGGCTCCGTGGAAGACTTGGATGGGGGGGAAATTAGGGATATAGGTTAGTATGAGGCTATATCATTGCCCTGGTTTCTTATGACTCACAGCTGAAAGAACATGGTGGCTTGGAGTGAAGTCGATTGTGATAATGATGGCTATAAGTCATTAACAAACATATACCTCACCTCAAGCCATCGGCTTAGGCATATGGGATCAAAATAAACCCAAAACACAACAGAGAAAGGGAGGGTAGGGAGGGAAGAAGGGAGAGAGAGAGAGAGAGAGAGAGAGAGAGAGAGAGAGAGAGAGAGAGAGAGAGAGAGAGAGAGAGAGAGAGAGATCCTTCCCTGTTGCAGTTTAAATTCTAGGAGGTGAAGTTGCTTGCAGGTTTAAATCCCTTTTCTCATGAGGTCTGAGTCATGAGAGATTTAATCTCCAGCAGGTCCCAGCTTCGATATGGAAGTCACAAAACTTTATCTTTTCCAAAGCTTCCAAAGTGGCATCTCCTTTAAGGGCTTGTAATGAAGAGCACCAAGGATTCTGGTTAAGAGGCAACTGTATCGGGTGCATATGTGCTGAGGTTAAGTGGTGAGAAGGTACAGTGAGCAGGGAGCCTATGAATAGTACTGTCCACCCGGATCCTTTCCAGCTGGGGGAAGATGTGGGAGTTAGTACGCGCATCACTCCACCATCCAAGTTCCCATTCCGCCTCTTTTACTCTTCCCTGCCTCCTCCCTCCTCTCCTAAATCCCTCCTTCCCTTCATTACCTCCCTTTCCCCTGGTTCCTCCCCCATCCTCTTCCATCTAACAGTTCCCTCTCCTCCTCTGGCTCGGTCCCTCCTCGTCTCTTTCGCTCTCATCTCCTTTCCCTCCTCCAGCCCTCGGCGGCGTCTGCGTCAGGCCCCCCACTAGCGTGACGCGCGGGGTCTGGGTGGGAGCTGTCCACTCACCCAGGTGCTGAACGCAGCCGCGGCTTCCCGGGCCGCGCGGGTGGAAGTCGCTGGGTGCCTTCTCCGCTCCGAGAAGCTCGTTTCCAGTCCTCGGACCGTCAGCCTACCGCCCCGGCACCTCCCTTCCAGCACCACCCCTTTGGGACCTGAGCCAGGGGGGCAGCAGTCGCGGCGGCGGGTGCTGAGCAACGGCGGAAGACAACACCTGGCAGCAGGCTGGAATCTGATTTGCTTCCTTTTCGGCTTTTCTAAGAGATATATTTATATACGGTTCTGGGGAGTCTCCAGGACCAAGCTGGAGCCAAGTGCCGTCTGCCTGACCACCTCGGCCACACCGTCTCTATCCCCCCTCCCCACCTTCGGCTGACACCGCCAACAAGCCTTACCTCCGTGCATCTGCGAGGAGAGGTAGCAACAGCAGCGAGCCCAGCCAGCCAGAGGCAGCCGGAGGAGGGAGGGGCGGCGTGGGGGTGGGAGCAGAGAGCCGGCCGAGGCCGCCCTAGGTGGGGGAGCGGGGGCAGAGCTGCCGACAGGACCTGGCAGTCGCCCTCCTCCGCCCCCACCCGCCAGAAGCACTCTTTGCTGATTATCTGAGGACTGAATTGTTCCATTAGTATTATTTTTTTTTTATTCTCCCCATCATTTCCCCACCGCCCCTACCCCCACGCGCCTGCCTTGTCTCTGGTTGCATGGCAGCACTGCCCGGGAGCGGGGGCCCAGGGCCAGCCCCCCGGGAAGGAAGAGGAGGAGGATCATGAAGCCTGGAGTCGCGACCACGCTGGACCGCGGGCCGCAGCAGCCAGAGGACCAGCCGGAGCAGCAGCACCCGCCGGGGAGACACCAGGACGCCGATCAGCAGTCGCTTCTGCCGCCACAGCAGCAGCGCCGGTCGCGTGCAGACCCACAGCAGGAGGAGGAGGAGGACGACGACGACAGCGACCCCGAAGAGGACGAGGAGGAGAAAGCAGCGAGGCCACTTTCCAGCCCGGACCTGCCTGTCTTCCAGCTCTCGAACCTCGCCCGAAGGGACCTTTGATGGAACCAAGGGGAGGGGCCTCCGATTTACAGACTGCAGCTGGGGTGGGCTGGGGGCTGAGATCATGTAACTATTCCTTTCTCCTGTCCCCTCCCCACGCCCCTCTTCTCCACCTCCTTTCTCTGCTCCATCACCTTCCCTCTCCCAAATACACTCTTCCTCTATTCAGGACTTTAGGCTCTGGAAGGAAGCAGCCCTTCGAGGGTTAAGGATCTTTTTTTTTCCTACATCCTTTTCTGGTCCACCGCCCTATACTCCACCTCGTCTGTGTAGCCTTTGGCTGCAGAGACCAAGCACAAGCTCTTTGCCCAATTTCACCTGCAAACAGTCTCCCAACCCCTTTCTTCAAAGCAGCTCTGGTGCTACTGGGGGTTTATTGCCCCAGTTTTCTGCCCAAGAGAATCAGAACTTCTCCTAACCTTCTCTGCCCCCCTCCCCCATCTTGCCTTCCCCCAACCACTTCTTACTACCTGAGGAAGCCTATCTGTTCTCTCTCTCGTGCAGTCTTCACTGAGCTGGTTTCCCTAAGCTCAGATCTAGCTGCTCCAAATTTGAGTTATAATCTTCTCCACCCTTTTATATAAAGGAGATTTACCACAGCCTAGAGATTTGAGAAGAATCTCTCAATCTTTTCCTTGGGAACTTTTAACAATTAGACATTGGTCATACATCCCAATGTTTCTACTGCCCTGCTCCTAGTAGTACTCGGGGGTCAAAGACAGAAAGGAGACAACAGCCTGAATTAAGTCTGAGGTTGGGGTGGGGCTGCCAGGGCAAGAAAAACTTCTTTTTTTTTTTAACTTTGCATTTTCTTAGGAGCGTTCAGAATCATTGACTCCCAGTTGTCAGTCGAGGAGGTAATTTATTTGCTGCTTGGAGGGGGTTATAAGAAGAGCCAATAAGAAAGGAGGTTCTTCCATAACACAGAAACACTGTGGACCCCAAGCCCCACCCTATCCACCTCTTCAAAGACTCCAACTGCCCCTCTCCAGTCCTCTGCTTCCCCATCACATGCTCATGCCCCTGGGTGGGCTGCTGTGGTGCTGCTGCTGTGGCTGGTACTGCTGTGGATTGTGCACCCCAGCTCCCCAGATGTTGCGCCACCAGGGTCTCCTCAAGTGCCGCTGCCGAATGCTCTTCAATGACCTGAAGGTTTTCCTGTTGAGGCGCCCCCCTCCAGCGCCCCTGCCCATGCACGGTGACCCCCAGCTCCCTGGTGTGGCGGCCAACAACAACACCCTTCCGGCTCTGGGTGCCGGGGGGTGGGCAGGCTGGAGGGGCCCTCGAGAAGCGGTGGGAAGGGAGACCCCTCCTCTGCCGCCTCCACCACCTCTGCCTCCTTCTGTGGAAGACTGGGATGGCCCAGCCACAGGGCCACCTGCCTGCCTGCTCAGCAGTGCTTCCTCCGAGGAATTCTGTAAGGAGAAAGCTGAGGACGGCTACTCTCTAGGAAGTAGCTTGGACAGTGGTATGAGGACTCCCCTCTGCCGCATCTGTTTCCAGGGACCAGAACAGGTGAGTCCTTTCCATTTCCCCTGCTCTGGTGTGTGGTATCTCCTGGCCATGCAGATGGCCACTTAACTGTTTGCCCCAGGGAACTATTATGCTGTTTCTAGTGTCAGCGACGGTGTTTAGAGTTTCTCTTGTGGTGAAGCTTGACCAATAGGTGCCTGAGGGAGCTTGTTTGGTAACTAGCTCAGTTACGCTTTGATTTTGCACCTCCCCCCCAATGCAAGTCTCTTTAATTCCATGCCCAAACTTCCAGAAGCACTCAGAACAGAAGATCCAGAAGCAATGATGTGACTCAGAGGGACCTTCATGGTTGTTGCTAAACAACACTTTCAGTTGGTGTCTTGCTGGTAAATCCCCACCCCAGCCCAGACTCAGCTCTACCTTCAAATTTCTTCCTTTTCTGAAATTGTGCCAAGATTGTGTTCTTTCTTCCTATTCTCATAGAGTGAAGCACAAAAATCTTGTTTGTTTGTTTGTTCTTTTTTCTTTCTTTCTTCTTCTTCTTCTTCTTTTTTTCCTTTGCGGCTACCTCAGTTTGCCAAGACACTTCTTGGTGATCTTGCATTTTCCTGTGTTGGAAGCAGATACTCTAAGCCAGAGTGAGTTTAAGGGACATTAGGAAAGAATCTTGCCAGATCTACTCTCCTTCCCTTCCTTTCCCTTATACTTTCCCCATCTAAGACATGGGATGGAGAATTTTTTTTCAAGTCAGGCAGATTCTCCCTTCCTTATCTATTCAGATTTCCACAGACAGCCCTCTTATTACTCCACCAATTGTCTTGTGTTCACAACACTGGGTAGATGTGCTAACTCACAACAGCCCTGAATTGTGAAAACACATAAGGAACAGTCCCAGGGTTCCCCTGGAAATCAGGTCTCCTTAGTGATGCGGGAGAGGGAACGTTTGATAGGGATGTGGGCGGGGTACTGTTCACCTCCGTGACCTCTTCAGCGGAGAGATTCTGGGTGTTCTTGAATAGTTGTCAATGAAGTAGGATGCCTCGTTGGTGCTCCTGATAAGTCCCCCCCCCCTTTTTTTTGCTTACTCCGTGAGATGCAGGCTTAGCTGACATTTTCATTCATTTTTCTTCTCTTGTCTCTGAATGGGCAAAGCCCTTAGGGACCGGGGATGCCTGGGGCTACAGTCTAGGCATTATGAAAGGAAGTAGTGAATAAGGATCTCTGAGAGACCGAGGGTTGGGCTTCTCCTTCATATGACTATGATTACCTGAAGCATCAAATGATATGCTGGTGGGTGAGCAGGTCCAGGTTGCCCACTCAGTGGCTTTCTTCTAGCATGTTGCTCCATTGCCAATACTGAACTTCTGTAGAAGGTATGTGGGTCTGTGACTAACAGCAAAGATGAGCCTGACTTTGGGTCAGCATTTGTCTCATTCAAGGACCTCAGCTTTTCCAAAACATAGAGTGATTTTGCTTATTAACTTCCTAAAGTATTTCTTCCTTCTCCCATATGGGCTGGCACATGTGTGCATATCACAGGGGCTGTTGGAAGTGAGCCTTCTGGCAAGAGCTCTCTTGTCTCTAGAAAACAGCAAGTCTTGGAACATGTGCTGAGATAATATTTCACCTGCTGTGAAATATTCTTCAAATAACTTTATGCCTCTAGGCCGCTATTCCAATTTCCACGAGATAGCACTTGCTTTCCATATCCTTTCTTTGTAGGAGAGCCCAGAAGTGTAAAAATACCTTGTAAGGGATTAACATATTATTAACATGTTTTTCGATCATGGAAAAGCTGCATTTTATTAGAAAAGGAAAATAAGGGGGGCGGGGTCATTAGTAATATTCTAAAATGCCCTCTTGTGGCACAAGATCTGCTCAAGGATTGGGAACTTTTGTTGTTGTTCGTCATCTTTACTATATGTTATAAATGGAATGCTGAATAAAAAAGCTAACATCATTAGAGGAATGGGATCTCTTATTATGTGTGAGGGGCTGTGTCTTCATTGAGATGGGACCAAATAAAACACTTCTTAAAAATGATTATCATGGGTCAGGCAGTGGTGATGGCGCACGCCTTTAATCCCAGCACTTGGCAGGCAGAAGCAGGCAGATCTCTGGAGTTCAAGGTCAGCCTGGTCTACAGAGTGAGTTCCAGGACAGCCAAGGCTACACAGGGAAACCTTGTCTTGAAGAAAGGAAAAAAAAAATGATTATCATGATTAGGACGGTTTACTTGTTGTAGGAGTCAAGGGGTTTTACTGGGATCGTGTTATAGTGGTAAGAGAAATGTGGGTGTTGTGCTAGATGTGGGGAACATGGTTTCCCACTTTCTTCTCACTCTTCTTTACAGAATTTCAATGAGGAAGGAAGACAAAGGAGGGAAGGGGGGGGACTCTAGAGAAAGAGGAAAGAGAAGAGGTGGGGATAGACAAGGAGAGAGGGAGATGGAGAAGTGGTCAGGTGGAGATTTCTGTATTTCAGTTCTGTTGAGAGAGAGAGACAGAGAGACCACACTGTCAAGCAGTTGTCTCTCCCTGGTCTAGGAGAGCAGTGATCTGAATAGCTGAATGGCTTGGTTTTTTTTTCTCTGTCCAAACAAAGGAACCAAAAACTTACCCTCCCACATACCATGCTCTAGTTTGTCAGTACTCTAGGATCCAAAAGATTGACAAAAGTAAAGATTTGGTCTCTTCTTGCAAAGTGCTTGGAGTGTTGTAGTGAGGGGTTCCAGGGGGATTCAAATCGGTTAGGTTCACACTTGCAGGTTTCCACAAAGGACTTTGCACCCATTCACTCATGCACGTACATGACAAATGGTTCAAAGCCACAGGGTGCTATGGCGCCAGTACTAAGCATCCGTGAGTAAACAAAAGCAGGGGAGATCTCTGCTGTCTTGAAGCTGGCCTTCCAGTGGGGACACAGCAGAGGGCAAATGAACTAGTAGATGAGTAAGGTGATTCCAGATGGAGAACCGTGGTGCAGACGAGTCAGACAAGGCACTACACAAACATGAAAATGAGTTAACCATGAATGAAAGGGAAGGGACGAGACGAGGACAGCCACATCCGGATAGGGCAAACAGGAAGAGTCTTCCTAAGAATGCTCCATCCCAGCTGGCACCTAAGTGACGAGGAGCGGGTACAGACCTGGGGAAAGCAGTCTGGCTGCATGGGACAACTAACTCAATAATGCAAGTGTGAGCAGACTTAGAATGTTTGAGAAACAGAGGAGGGGTTCTGGGAGGAGAAGGAAGGGTGAGGTGTGAACAAATGCTTTGAGAACCTACCTGTTGGCTCCCTGCTAGAAAGTTCCTGAGTAGCCATTCTTTTCTCTTCTCAGCCATTCCTTCATGTAAGACCGTGTTCAAAGACCCCTGAGAGTGTGTGGCAGGGGCTTTTGCATATCCCCTCACTCTCTACTTGTGGCTAATGCTGTCCAATCCTCCTAGAAGGACAGTGCACTGTGGTTGGTAGGCTGAGTCTGCCTGAAGCCAGATGGCCCTAACTGGAGTGATGAACTAGTTACGTGGCCTAACGGTGCCTCGGATTCCTCATTTGTAAAATAACGGCAGCCCCTGCTTTGTAGGATGACTCTGAAAACCAAGTCGGTCAATACTACATGAGCAGCTGTGACAATGTTCTGTTATTGTTATTATCACGCTCACTTGCTTTTGTTAAAGCGGGCTCCAGCTCATAGGCTAGCAGGAGGGCTGGGACAGTCGTGGATGGCTTCTCCTGCACACACAATGCTCTAGGCACAGAGTGCTGTTCCTCTGTTTCCAACACCAAAGTCTTTACTAAGGGCCAGCTAGGCCTGCTGCTTTGCTGAGCAGGGGCTAGAGACACACGTTAGATGTGGCCCTGTCTTCTGGGATGTCTAGCCCAGACATCACAGGACCTGACAGAGATCAAGAACACACAGCAGATGAACCTGAGTGAACTTCGTTATTATCTGAACAAGAAAGAGGCAGGTTTAAAAACAGCCAGTGGGTTGGATACCTATTCAGAAAGACAGGTATGGAGGACGGTAGGTGGGTGGGGGGTTTGCTACTTTTCCCCCAATTAGTCAGGAAGGCTTCTCTGTTGCTGCTGAAGACCAAGTGAGAGGAAACAGATTCAGAAAGGTGGAGGCTAGATAGAAAGCTGCAGAGGAGATGTGAGAAGAGTGTGCTTTCACAGAGATGCAACCACCTGCTAGGCTGGGAAGCTGTGGAATGCCTGGAGGCGGGGCTAAGGGCTAAGGATGCAGTCCGGAGCAGGGTAGGGAGGAGGTGCATGTTTTGGATTTAATGAAAAGCAGGAAACAGGTCTAGAGGAATTTAAGACTTGGGTGCCTTTCTTGTTCTTTTGGGGGCTGGCTTCCTGAGACCTTTGTTCACAGGGAGCAAGAATAATGTGGAAGGTCTTAGCCAGTGTGGTGGGTTATTGAACCATAGAATAAAGGGTTTTACAAGGTTCAGGGGGGACCTGCAAGGTACACTGAGAACTCTGGGAAATGGAGATCCAGAAGAGCAGTTTAGGCCCAGAGGATGTATTTGCACTAGGAAGTGCAATTTGGTTTTATATCTCTTTGTGTACTTGCTTCATTAATACCTCTTTGCACAGTGAACAAACCCACACCTATAGCATGGATCTTAGGCAAAGATGGTAATAGAAGCTCACATACTGTAGGCTAGAATATTTACAAGTCATAAAGCCAGCTGACAAACTGTTAAATATAGCTCTACCCTCTCAGCCTGACGACTGTGCCTTCAAAGCAAGCGGGAGAGAGAATTTGAATGTGTAACTTTTAGATTTGTCTGAATTCTGCGTTAGCTGATGGAGATGTCCACAGACCACTCTGATTCTCTTGTCCAAGTTCTGTCCGTACCATTCCCCGAACAGTGGCTTCTCGCCCTAGTTCTCTAGCCTGGGACTGAAGTTTATAGACCTGAAGAAAGTCTTCCAGGTCCTAGGATCAGGCTCATCTCTATCTTGGCAAGAACTCCAGGGTCCCAGGAGCACATTCCAGAAGAGGGACATGGTTCCTCGACTTTGGAGACTCCTTCTCTGTGGACAGGTGTTATTGAAGAGGGAATAGCTATAAACCTTCTAAAGCCAGAGACGACTTGCCTGGGTCCAAGGGAGGCATTATGAAAGGACTATAAGATCCCAGGAGGAAGCAACCAGTGTGTGCTTTTTCCTCGGCATCCTGAGGCCATTAGATCTCAGCTCAGTACATGATACTCACTTCATGCTCAAAATTAAGTGATGAAACGTTTGCTTAATTGGACATATCCATAGTCAAAATCATTGAAAAAAAAAAAAAAGAGAGAGAATGTTTAGGAGGAAAAAAAATCAACACTACCACCCAATGTTAAAAGCATGTGGTACGAAAGAAGGGCCATAAAGGGCAGTGCCTTGGCCAGTGAGGGATCTCCAGGGAAGTCAGTTTGAGTTTTGACCCCTATCAACTGCATTCTGTCAAAGCTAGGCTGGGGCTAGAGGACTCATGATCCCTTCTCGATTTGAGAGTTTCAGTTCACAAATGACATTGTTTGGGAGGGTCCAGAGGGATTTCTTAAATCCAAACAGAAACAAATGACACTCGTCCTTCTGCAAGGCTTATCTAATGTTGGGACATCTTGTTTCAGTAAACAGAGTATAAGGAGTATTCAAACATGTCATTGAGAAGCGAATGGACTTTTTCATGTGTTTCTAGGAACCCCAAGATGTTGGTAGTCATATGATTGGTGCAATTGTGAATTTTCACCATGCACATACCAGGATAAGGGAGCAAACCCTTCATAGCCGATTGGCAAGGCACCACTGTGGACTGAAGACTACAGGTTCCTACCAGAAAAGGTGGCCACTACCCTCAGCGTTTCCATTGCTGCCTTTTCATTTCTACTTCCATTTGAAGTTCCTACTTAAATTGGAAGCTCCAAGGACCCTTTCTTCATCCTAATGTTCTTCTAAGTCTTCATTACTAATGCTTTAATGGTCTGTTGGGCATAAAGATGTCCAAACTTACCGCTAGGTCCCTGGACATTTTGCCAATTTATGTATCATTGACATGTACATACTATGCTTACGAAAATATTAGAATATGTCTCTTTCTCTCTGTCTTTGTCTCTTACACACACACACACACACACACACACACACACACACGGCGGGGGGCAGGGGGAATGGGTTGGGGGAAGACAATTGGTGTCCTGACAACTGTGTAGTACAATTCTCAAATCAAATATCTGTTGATCCTCCACATCAGTGGTTCTCAACATTTCTAATGTTGTGGCTCTTTAATACAGTTCCTCATGTTGTGGTGACCCCCAACCCTAAAATTATCTTCATTGCTACTTCATAGCTGTAATTCTGCTACTGTTGTGAGTCATAATGATATGCAAACCCTGTGAAAGGGTCATTCGACCCCCAGAGGGGTTGTGCCCCAGAGGTTGAGAATCTCTGCTCCGCATGATGCCCACTAGAGTAATCTTGTACTTGCCAGTCAGCATCAGTTTGGGAAGGACTGGCTCACTTATTGGGCGTGGCTTCAAGCTCAGCCATTCACACAGAGCGTTACTTAATAGAGCTGGGAGGGCAGGAAGTTGTGGAATATGGATTCCAAGGGAGCCCGAGAGAAGATGAACATGGGCAACAGCCGAGAACATGGTATGTTGGAGAAGCCCAGCTATGTCCCATGAGTGTGGGGGAGGGAAGCAGGCTGAAGGAAGGGGACAGTCTAGAAGGACTGTGGAAATGAGTGAGCACTTCTGGTTTGATGGGAAGAAAGCCAAGTTGGAGGGGAGCCTGGATGTGAAGGGGCTGGCCAGTGAATATTGTGTGGCCCAAGCTGCACAGCAGTCCCCCCACACCCTATGATGAAGTGTATGCAAGGCAGGCTTTACATGTGTGTATGATGTACAGTGCACATTTGACACCTCCTTGTTTGGATATGCAAAGCAGAAGTGGGCGTAGACAGGGGAGCTAACCGTGTGACAACATGGGATTAATTTACATTTTCCAGAATATCTTATTTGTTCTTTGATGATTTCATATAGACAGAGTATATATTGATGTCGTCTACCCCGATAGCCCTTCCCACTCCCTCTGACTGTCCATCAGAATACCCCCCTCCACTTCATATCTTCTCTCTTTTTTTTTTCTTTTATAACTCACCGAGTCCAATTTGTGTTGCCTGTTGGAATTCTGACTGATCCTGTTGGCTTGATATTGGGTGGGCAACCACAGCAGCCACAGAGTTCATGAAGGCAATGACCGCATCATGTCCAGAAGGCGGCGTCTCAGAGCGCTCCTTCCATCATCCAGTTCTTACATCCTTCCCATCTTCTTCTCTGCAGGGTTCCCCGGGTCTTGAGTTGGATGGGGTGATACAGGTGTCCCAGTGGGAACAGGCACTCAACAGTCACTTGTCCTCGGTGCTTTGATCCGTTAAGAGTCGCTGCGTTAACTGCTGTCCATTGCAGAGAGCAGCCTCTTTGGCCAAGGTTGAGAACAACGCTAGCCTACGGTATAAACGTAAATATTTAGAAGGCAATTCAGCAGCACATCCACATAGTGAAACACCGGTAGAGGTTTCCCACTAGAGCCCTGGGGCTCCCAGGCTGTGGGTTATTGACCAGGGTTATAGTGCCAACTGTGACTTTCCTCGTGAGAAAAAGGCCTCAAATCCAACCAGAAAGTGGTTGATTATCCCTATAACTTGCATATCACTGTTGTACTAGTGGGCACATCTTGCACGGCAGGTCGGTATTGTAGAGTTCAGGTTCAGCACCAGGTGAAAACATTAATGACTTTTCCCTCCCCATGGCCGCCTTCTGGCTCCACCAAAGCTAGTTAGAATGGAGGAAGTTTTCTGGTCAGTTCCAGCTTGGTTTTTCTGTCCTACAACCCACTGTGTGTTATATCTTCAGCAAAAGGTCTTACTGTCAGTTATGGTAAGAGTAATAGGAATAACTTGTGTTGTCTGGAGGAATCCCTGGAGTCTCCCTGACTGCTAACTTGTAAGAAGATATCCCAGTCTTGGCACTGGACATTTTCATTTGATAGCCCATGTCTTCTGGGGGAAATCATTGCCAACCCATGCAGGGTACCTGTGTTCAAACTTTCTTAATACTTTATTTATCAATTTAATTATTTACTTATTTATTTATTTATTTAGAGACATGGTCTCACTATGTATCTTTGGCTGTTCTGGAACTCACTGTGTAGACCAGGCTGGCTTCAAACTCACAGGGATTCACCTGTCTCTGCCTCCCAAGTGTTGGGATTAAAGGCATGTTCCGCTATACCTGGCTTTAATAAAACTTTTAAAGATTCATTTTATTTTTAAATCACATGTATGTGCGTGTTCGTGTGTGGGTATGTGAATATGAGTGTGGGCACCTGAGGAGCCCAGAGGCATTGGAACACCCTGGAGCTGGAGTTACAGATGGTTATGATCCACCTGGCATGGATCTGCATCTTCTGTGAGAACAATGCACGATCTTAACTGCAGATCCATCTCTCCGGCAATTCCCCAGTTACATTTTTATAATCAGCTTAACAAACTAGTGGCTTTCCAAAAACGTTTTTCTACATTCTTAGAATCGGTCAACCCACTCTCCACCCTCTCCTCTCACCGTCCCACTGCCCCAGTTCCCACTTAAACCTTGAATCCCCAGGATCTCTTCTCTAGTTTCACATCACGTGTGTACTATTAGACCTTCACACCTGAAAGCCTCTTCCCTAACCTCCCTTACAAGCCCTTTCTAGCTTCCCGACCTCTATAGACTTCAAGTAAACATGCAAATCTAAAATTTCAAAGCTAGCATCCACATATGAGAGAACACGTGGCATTTGTCTTACCAGGGTATGAATTACATTTTGAGTACCAGGTAGATGCCATGAGGAAAAGAGGTGGAGGATCTGAAAATATAGTCTCTACCTAACACTAGGATCCAAGGAGTTACCTCTTGCCCCATAAAAGGATACCCAGGTCCTAGTTTTTAACTCAACTAACTGCTCTCATGAGGATTTCTTTTCTTTCTCTTTCTTTTTTTGGGGGGAGGGGGCAGGTGGAAAATGGGTGAAGTCTCTCTACATAGCCCTGGCTGTGCTGGAACTCACTCTGTAGACCAGGCTGGCCTCAAACTCACAGAGATCCGCCTGCCTCTGCCTCCCGAGTGCTGGGATTAAAGGTGTGTGTCACCGAGCCTGGACTCATAAATATTTCTCTAGGCTGTGTGAAGTTGGCAGCTAAAGCTAACTAGGACAGACGCTAAACTCCTTACTTGTTGTACCGGATTAAGAGAAATGGTAAAAACAATTAACAGTCCTGGGTTACACAATGGGCCAAAAACTCAACACTAATCTATGAAATTTCAAGTTGTCTACAAAATTACTGTGGAAGACAGACCAAATTATTTTCCTCATTTATAGAGAGGTTAATCTAAATGTGATGGAAGAGAATCAACATCTACAGAACCCTCTTGAAGCTACTACCATCATGGCTAAGACATGACTCTGCACATAGTAGGAGCTTGGTTATTGTTGATTCTTTCTCCTTCTTCCTGGAGCACATTCATTCCATGTTAATAACACTATCTATGGTCCCTAGTACATGCCTGGTAGAAAATACATTTGTGAGTGTCTGTGTATCTGTTCACTTATGTGTGTAAATTAAAATTCCAAACATGGGGCTTATAGATAATTCCTTCAGAGGCCCAACCAATTTAATTTTCTGATATTGTAAGGACAAATACTAATGACTATTGTCCTAGCAATCATAGTAACCATTATCCTGGCTCGAGGCCTCATGGCCAGAAACATACTTCTCATTCTGTTGAAGAACGATGGGAAAAACAGACTTTTTTTTTTTAACTACCCCCCTAAACAGTATAGACCTTGTGTCAACCCCCACCCACGTCTCAGGGGACATTGTGACCTAGGCTGTGACATCAGAAGGACGTGAATTCATTCCCTTCAGGGCCCTCCCAGGTTGGCTATTTATTCCCCTGCACTTGGGTGTCACTATTTATAAGACAAAGGTACAACGCTAAGTTTGAACACTTGTAAGAAGTTGACCCTACAAGCTAAAGATGTAAGCACATGACAGCCTCTCATGAGTTAGGGTATAGCTCCCTTTCCATCAATGAGACTCAGACATTTAAAGCCATGTTTGGACCACAGCGAACCCCAGTGTGGAGAGTGTAGATGGGGAGCCTGTGCTCGGCAGCTCCCACTGCTGTGTTGCCTGACTCAGCTGAACTCTGTCCTCTCCCCCGGGTTGGAAATGCTCTCCCTCAGTCATCCTTCTCCATTTCCACCATCATCGTGTTGTGAGTTGATTTTATCAAGCACTGCTCTATGCTTGGCAGCACCTGTTTCAAATAAAAAATAGACCCTTTAGCTGGCCTCTGAGTCCCCAGAAGCTGGGAGCAGACTAAGTCTGCAGAGGAGCCAGCAGAGAAAGGTAGAGGAAATCCTTACCCAGTGCACATCAGCAGGGTGCTCGAATTCCAGCCATCCCTGGACTAGTGTTCTGGAATATCTGGAATAGGATAGATACGCTTCTAGATAACATTGACTCACACACGAGAATACTATTCCTGTCCAGTTTGATCTTGTGCCTTAGGATTGTGTCCAGGACAGAAATCTCATTGTAGTAACAGTCCGTCTTTAATACTTCTCGAACGTTGTTAATCTCCCTTGTAAACAAAAAGAGAAGGCATCAGACTTTGGATTCACTCCAATATCTAAATAGAACTTCTGATTATTTTCTCCCTATTTGTGTCTATTATTCTTAATAGTCTTTTCATTAGCGCGATGTTAACAGTAAAATAGGGCAGGAAGTTCAGAGCGCTCCCACGCCTTCCCAGTCTTCCCACTGTCAACGTCTCCCACACAAGAGGTATGCTTGTTACAACTGGTTAACCAGTACTAACCTCATGATTACCCAGAATCCACTAGGGTTTGCCGTTAGCTCCCCACCACGCCGCCCATGTTCGTATCCACCATTACAGCATCAGATAGGATGGTTTCACTGCCCTAAAACTCTGTCCCACCTCCCAGTCATTCACCAATTCCATCCATGTAGTTTGACCTTTTCCAGAATGTCAGATAGTTAGGGTTATAGAGCATATAGGCCTTTTAGTTTAGCTTTTCCACTTAGTAATATGCATCCCCATTTCCTCCATGTCCTTTTAGGGGTGTGTGTGTGTGTGTGTGTAAAAACAGTGTTTTTTCAGTGCTTGGTAATATTTCTTTGAATGGAAGTCCCACAGTTTGTCTGCTTTTTTTTTTTTTTTTTGTGGCAAATGACACTAATTTTCATTTATGGTAGCAGCAAAAAGTCCCCTTTAGCCGGGCGGTGGTGGCGCACGCCTTTAATCCCAGCACTCGGGAGGCAGAGCCAGGCGGATCTCTGTGAGTTCGAGGCCAGCCTGGTCTCCAAAGCGAGTTCCAGGAAAGGCGCAAAGCTACACAGAGAAACCCTGTCTCGAAAAACAAAACAAAACAAAACAAAAAAAAAAAAAAAAAAAAAAAAAAAAAAAAAGTCCCCTTTAGAGTAAATGTACTGAAATGAAGATGTGAGACAATTAAAAAGAGATGATAACTTTGAAGAAAGTAATATAGGCGGAATACATATAAAATATCCATGACTGAAGTCTGAATAATGCTTACCTGGGCTTCACACCTTGTAGTCGTGACTTTTTATCATTTCTGTGACTGGACATCTGACAAGAAGCAACTTAAGAAAGAAAGATTTGGCTGGAGAGATGGCTTCTCCAGTAAGAGTGCTTGTTGCTCTTCCAGAGGACACAGGTTCGATTCCCAGCACCCACAGGTGCCTCACAAGGTCTGTGACTCCAGTTCTGAAGAATCCGATGCCCTCTTCTGGCTTCCATGTGCACTGCATGCATGTGCTGCGTTGATACATGTACAGGGCGACACACCAATATGCATTAAAAATACAAATAAATAAATCTTTAAAAAGAGAGAGAGAGAAGGGTTTATCTTGGCTCACAATTTGAGGTTGCAACCCATCCAGAAGGGGGAAGGCGTGGTGGCTGAGCTTGCTTACCTCTGTGTCAATCAGGAAGCAGGCTCTGTTGCTCTGGGGACTTTCTCTTTCCGCCTTTCTTCCATTGCTCATGAAATGGTGATACCCACAGTTAGAGTGGTTCTTTCCTCCCCAGTTCAACCTCTCTAGACACAGCTTCATAGGTACACCCAGAGGGGTGGCTCCTGGGATCCTAAATCCAGTCAAGTTGACAATGACCATCAACCACCATACACTTTAAGAATGGTTCACAAACCTTCATGGACATCAAAAGGACCCCAGGAAGGGGATGAAATGCAGAGCTGGAGGCCATGATCTGCATATGGTGCCGTAGATTCTATTTTAAACCCTAAGGTTTTTGCTTTTGATGCTTCTTTTTTTTCCTCTCTCTTCCTTCCTTCGTTCCTTTCTCTCTCTCTCTCTCTCTCTCTCTCTCTCTCTCTCTCTCTCTCTCTCTCTCTCTCTTTCTATTCAATTCCAAGGTGGCTAGCTGATTGTGCTAAGAATACTGTATATTAGGAGACAGCTATATGGGAAAAAGAAACATAGCCACAGACTCAAAATTCTAGGACAGATAAGGACTAGATCTTTGGGCACTATATCAGGAGGATGGGCCTCTTTGGGAAGACCCAGGACCATGTGTCCCTGAAGGAAGTGCCATGCCACCCAGGACAAAGGCAGGAAGAAATGCCTCGTGCATTTCTCTCTTCCCTGCTTCAGGAACCCAGAAGCTTCCTGTTCCAGACAGGGAGGCTGCTAGATGGAAAAGTTCATCCATGTGGGATACTGACACAAGAGGGCGCTACTTTTTATATGTTGCATTAAGATTTGTGGGGGTTGTTTTGTTTTTCCTGTTATTCAGTTAATGTAAGTTTCCTGATACAATCATTGGTTCCACTCCTGGGTTGGTGTACTGCATAGTTTTATGTCAATTAGACACAGGCTAGAGTCATCTGAGAGGAGGGAACCTCAGTTAAGAAAACTCCATCAGATCAGGCTGTAGACAAGCCTGTAGGGCATTTTCTTAATTAGTGATTGATGGGGGTGGACTCAGCCCATTGCAGGTGGTGCCATCCCTGGGCTGGTGGTGCTGGGTTCCAAAAGGAAGCAGGCTGAGCAAGCCATGGGGAACAAGCCAGTAAGTAGCACCTCTCCATGGCCTCTGCATCAGTTCCTGCCTTCAGGTTCCTGCCCTGTTTAAATTCCTGTCCTGATAACCTTTGGTGATGAGCAGTGCTGTGGAAATGTAAGCTGAATAAACCCTTTCCTCCCCAAGTTGCTTTGGTCCTGGTGTTTCATCACAGCAAATAGACACCCTAACTAAGACGGCTGTGTTCAGAGAGAATTTGAATGCAGTCAAATCAGGAGCTTCCCTGGGAAAGCCCAGGAATCCCAGAACAGAGCAACAGACACTGAACAGACCCATGCCTCACAATTCATTAAGTGCTTCAGCTCAGAGTGACACATTGATTTCTTCCACAACTCACTGACTGCATCTTGAAACATGGTTTTGTCTAACAGCAATCCTCCGGATGCCTAAGGAGAAGATGCTCAGAGATGAGTGAGTTCTAGAAGCCTCTCCTGCAATAGTGGTTGTCTTGGTAGTTATGAGTGTTGACTGATACACTCTGTGGCAAACACTGAGAACACAGCCCGCCCCTCACTACACACTCTGTAAATACTAGTTAGCATCATCGTTTCCTCCTTTATACAACGAGGCTGAACTTGAGAATACTCAGGCTGCTTCTAGCTCTGCTGCTTTTGTTTGTGATGTGTTAGAGCAGTGGTTCTCAACCTTCCTAATGCTGAGACCCTTTAATACAGTTCCTCATGTTGTGGTGACCCCCAATCATAAAATTATTTCATTGCTACTATATTTCATAACTATAATTTTGCTACTATTATGAATCATGATGTAAATATCTAATATGCGGGATATCTGGTATTCAACACACCTGCTGAGAACTACTGCATTAGAGGGAAGAAGAGTGGTACCCAGGGCTGGTAGAAACCTAGTCTCTCCTTCTACCAGAAGAATGAATGGCTTTATGAAAGGGGGATGTACAGTACTTGCTTAGCATGTACAGCGCCTGGGGTTTGATTCCCAACATGAGGAGGGTCGGGAGAGGGGAAGGGAGGATAGAAAGAGAAAGGGAAAACAGCTTTAGAACTGAGCATTAAAGATCAAGTTGGGGGTCGGGTGGTGGTGGCCCATGGCTTTAATCCCAGCACTCGGGAGGCAGAGCCAAGCAGATCTCTGTGAGTTCAAGGCCAGCCTGGTCTACCAAGTGAGTCCCAGGACAGGCTCCAAAGCTACACAGAGAAACCCTGTCTTGAAAAACAAAAACAAACAAACAAACAAAAAAGATCAAGTTGGGGAAAGAATTTAGAACACAAGCAGTGAAAACTGTCTCACAAATGAGTTCAATGGGAACACAGAGTCAAATGATGAGCTTTTGACAAAATTAGCATGGTGCATGAGACCATAGGACTATGAACTTGACCTTAGACAAAGGGCTGAAAAGCTAGACCAAGATGCTTTCAGAATTGGGATCATAAATCCCAATGCTACTGTGCAAATGTGTGACATTGGCTGAGTCACACTCCGAATCTTAATTTCCTCCACCATAGAATAAGAAAGATAATAACAGGGCATTGTGTGCAAAAACTCTCAGCAGAGTGCATCATGCCAGAATACAATAAAGTTACAGGCACACAATAAACATCCTCTGGATGTTGTTATCCGACCTTGTCAGTCTCCATTGTTTCCTGCAAGATTTCCTGGAGAATTTCTGCCTTGGACTGTGTGTGACTGTGGGCTGATGACTTCAGGAAGAGGTGCATATGTATGGATGGGTGCGTGAAACCAAATTTACCCCACCTGTCAACTACATAAAAATTACCTTAGATATATAAAACATTTTTCAAATGTATAGGGAAACCATCACGGTGAGCAAAATCAAAATCGTCCTTCCATGGAGAATCACCTCTTGTCAATAACTATGCCAATAAATATTTTCAAAGCATGGCTATGATCGTTTGAGGGTGCATGAAACTTTTTCTCAGCATAACACTAGTTCATTACTTTGAAAAAGCTTATTATTGGGGGCTGGAGGGATGGCTCAGTGGTTAAGAGCACCTGCCGCTGCCCTTTTAGAGGACCTGGGTTTGATTCCCAGCACCTTCATGGCCTATAACTCCAGATTCAGGAGACTTGATCCCTTCTTCTGACTGTCTTAGATAACCAGGCGAGCATGTGGTGCACATACATGCGGCAAAACAACCATACATGTAAGTTGAAAATTAAACTATTTTTTTAAAAAAAGCTTATTATTACAATTTATTATAAAGGATACAAAAGAAAAGGCGGACCAAGAAGCTCATAGGGTGATTTGTGAAACTTTATGAGTATGCTATTTTTTATTTATTACTTGAAAATTTCACACATGTATGTGGTGTAGTTTGGTCGTATCTACCCTGTTCCAACTTCTCCAACTGCCCCCCATGTTCTGCCACATCTCACTCCCAAATTCATGTCATCTTTTATGGTTTTAAATAAGTCACTAATTGGTGTTGCCCACATATGTAGGGTTATGGGGTCATCCATTGGAAGATGGAGAATCTACCAGTGACCTTACCTCAAAGAAAAATGATACCACCCACCCACCCCCATTAGCCATCAGCTATCAATAGCTCCTCAGCTAGGGGTGAAAACCTTGTGAGCTTCTCTCCCATCCATGCTAGAAATTTGACTGGCTTGATTTGTTCAAGTCTTGTCCAGGTAGCCATGGTTACTAGGAGTTCATGAGCGTAATGGCCACGCCATGTCCAAAAGACAGGCTCTCACGCACTCCTCATCTTCTGGGTCTCATGTTCTTCCTGTCCTCTCTGTCACAGTGTTCCCTGAGATGTGGGAGGTGGTTGATGAAGCTATCCCACTCAGGGGCTTCCTAAAACTTTTCAAATACTTAAAAAGGTCTAAACTAAATGATATTCTAAAATAAATAGCTGGCTTGTACTTTCCCAAAGTGTCAAGGTCATTAAAGATGAAGAAGGACAGGGGAATTGTCCGAGACTAACAGAATCTATGTAGACCAGACTGGCTTTGAACTCACAGAGATCCACCTGTCTCTGCCTCCCAAGTAATGGCTAGCACAATCTAAAGAAATATGAGAATGAAATACAGTGTGCCATCTGGTTTGGACTCTGGACAATAGAGGTGGCTGGTAAAATTAGGATAAAGCACGCAGTTTCAACAATAGCCTTATGTCAAGGCTAAATTCTTGATATATTGATAATATTGATTATTGTAATATGTTCACTGGAGACACCAACTCTGGAGAAGTTGGGTGAATGGTGAATGGGAATACTTTGTTCTGCTACTGTGTTTTTACAATAATACTGATTTTTTTTTTTTTTTGAGACAGAGTTTCTCTGTGTAGCAGCCCTAGCTGTCCTGGAACTAGCTCTGTAGACCAGGCTGGCCTTGAACTCAGAGAGATCTGCCTACCTCTGCCTCCAGAGTGCTGGGATTAAAGGCATGTGCCACCACTGCCCAGCTTACAATAATGCGATTATTTAAAAATTAAAGGTTAAAAATCAAAAATTATTTAAATAATGGAAATTTGTCCCACATGAAAATCATAGGGATTTCCGGTGTAGAGGGACGGATTGGGTACCTGTGACATTGACTAGCTCTGTAGCTTTTGGGGGAAAAAAAAATCAATGAATTCCTCTGAATCCCAGGCTCCTGTGTCTGCAACATGGAGCTAACATAAATAAATAATAGAGCTGTTTTGTCAAGTTAAGTAAGGGGGCTGGAGGGATGGCTCAGCAGTGACGGACACTTCCTGCTCCTCCTGGGGACCCGAATTCGGCTCCCAGCACCCATGTCTGGTGTCCACAAGTGCCTGTAACTCCAGCACCAGGGGATCACACACCCTCTTCTGGTCTTCACAGGTACCACTCCCCCAAACCCCACACGTGGTGGACACTCACAGAGACCCCTACCCATACATGTACATTAAAATGAATCATCAAAAGAAATGAAGTAACCTGGACCTGAGACAGTGGAAGAGGAAGGCTCATGAAAGCTGTTAGGTTTCCGTCTGGTCTGTCCTTCAGGATGATGATGTGTTTCACTCACTCCTTAGGTGTAAGTACCGTGTGTTAAGTGCTTCGAGATTGACAGGATGGCATCAGAGCGAGGCAAAGTGTTGTGTGGGCAGGAGTTTCCCCACTGTGGGATCTTAAGTACATAAACAGAACTAATAGCTCCCCGTATAAACAACACTGGCTGCTATGTGGTGTTCGTCACCAGTTTTTAGCCTGATACCCCAAAAGGAGCACTTTGGTACACAGAGTGAACGTGGGTTGTATGTTTTGATCCATCCCGTGGTGATCCCTCCAGGAGCCACAGATCTGAGCCTCTGTGGAACAATGTTCTGCTTGAGAAAGAAAAGCTTTCCAGGCCGTAGGCTCTGGGTTCTCTCCAAAGTGTTTGGAAAACAACTGATGGGAGCAGAGTGCGTGGGTGGATAGAGGTGTCTCTCCCGTCATGTGCCTGCTTGTGGGAGTGGGTGCGTGTATGTATCTGGGTGTGGGGTACAGTATCTGATGCAGAACGAAAAGGCCCTGGAGTGGGTTTGTCCATTTGGCTGCTCCTAACTCTGTGCATCTTTGTTCTAAAGAGAGCCCAGAGGCTCTGGTCTTTGCAAGGTCAGCACTGGCTTTGTACATAGTGCCCTGGTTCTCGCTCTGGAGGAATATATATCTTGATTTCAAAGGATTTTCATACTTCCCCCATTCCATTTATTGGGAAGTAACTCTACAAAGGACTTTCTCAAGATTTAAAATTTTTAGACCTTGTACGAATCAAAAAGCATTTGTTCACCACGATGCCTGGAATTTGCTTCAAAATAGTCCAGCAAGTGCAGGTGAAGCAAGACTGGACACAGGCTGGGGCTTGGTGTTGGGTATGTGAGATTTATTACAGTCTTCCTACTTTTACGTGTGTTTAATTTTTTTATAATAAAAGTATATCCTATTGTTTGGTTAATAAAACGTTATAAAAAGATACGCATGAAAAAAATTTCTTTTATAAAAATTCAGGTTGAGGTAGCAAAGGGTACGTTGGCTGCCTTTGGGCACAATGATCTTGAGGACCAGATCAAAACCAGACAAGACCCAAGCCAGTCCCACTGGCGTTTCGTCAATTTCGTTTCCACGCGTGGACTAAAGTTGATGTCTTCTTAAGGGCATGTTACCCTTAGGGTCACTATTAAATCTGAAAATATCTTGCCACTCATTTCCTCTCTGTCCCCTGGGTCTGGTCGTGAAGGAAACAGGGCAAGCATCGATTCTGAAGACACAGAGTGACCACACCTGGGTGCCAGACCCTAGGCATGCCGACGTGAGATGCAGGTTGAGAGTCTAGGACAAAAGGCTAGTATTATCCTAAGATGCAGTCACCAGACAATGCAATGAGTGCCTCAGGCCAGGGTTCTATGCCTTGTGATCTGCACTAACACTGCCTACAGAGCTGGCAAGGATCCCAGAGCAGCCAACTGTTGAACAGCAAGGCAGGCTAAGAGGTAGAAAGGCTGCTGAGGATAGTGGATGTGTGTTCCAAAGTACAGGCGTGAGCGAGTGAGCCCACCACCTCTCACCAGAAACGTAATCTCTCACAGTTGGTCAGTCCTGTATCTTTCTCATTGCTTTCCCATCACTCTGTTAGGCTTTAAGACACAGTGTAGTTTCCCCCAGAGCTGGGTGATTGAATGGGCAGGGTGCAGATAAGGTGTCAAGTCCTTGTTAGTACTAACTAGTTAATACTAACTAGTCTTCTCAATGCCTGTTTTTGTAGGCTTGGTCCTAGTAGCCTTATAATAGGAATGAGTGGTTTTGTGGTATTTAGGGCCACCTATCTTAGAATAATAACTCCATTCAATGGTTCATTGAATGGTATTTTTAATCTAGGCCTCTCCAAAGAGTCTGGAAGAACCCCCGTGAGTCTAAAAGCTCCCTTATTCTCTAACACAGGGAGAACCATCAGTTTGTGTGTCTGTGGATGGGAAGGGAGAAGAAATTATTTTCTCGACTTTTACAAGCAGGAACCAGGGTCCAGAGAAGTGAGGTGATATGCTCAGTGTGGTAGTTTGAAAGAAATGGCCCCCAAAGGGGGAGGCACTATTAGGAAGTGTGACCTTGTTGGAGTAGGTGTGGTCTTATGGGAGGAAGTGTGTCACTGTGGAGGTGGGCTTTGAGGTTTAATACATGCTCAAGCCACGCCCAGTATCTCAGACCACTTCCTGTTGCCTGAGGGATCAAGATGTAGCAGCTCCTTCTCCAGCACCATGTCTGCCTGCACGCCACCATGTTGCACCATGATGATAATGGACTAAACCTCTGACAATGTTTTCCTTTATAAGAGTTGCCATGGTCATGGTGTCTCTTCACAGCAATAGAAACTCTAAGACACTCAGGAAAGATGGCAAACAGGATAGCCAGGGTCTCCTCATCCCACCCCAAGAAATATCAGTGGACACATGTGCAGGGGGGAGATTCCTCCTGCTGCATCCTTTTTCCAGTCTCAGATCTAGTCATCCTTCATATCCTAACACATTAATATATCACCAAAAAGCCTAGAGCATTGAATGAATGGAATACACCATGGATGTCTATAGAAGCAGCAGAACATATAGTTAATTTTATTTTCTAATTAGTCTGAGGCTACCCTATAACTTTTATTAGACATTGATCAAAATTTCTTTCATTTGGAGGATTATTGATTAAACTCAGGCTATGCAGTTACAGAAGACACAAGAAGTGAAATTCTCATTTTACAGACAATAGGTATCTTGGAGATGCTGGTGGGTGGATTTTACTTAAATCACGTTATCAACCTGTTTTGGCCTTTCCCCATGTCTGTAGAGTAAGATGTATACAATAAGAATTTATTGAGCAGATACTTTGTGTTAGAATGACACAGAGAATTCTGGAGCTCACACTGAACCAGAGCACAGCTCCTGTCCTCTTGGAATTTCTCCAGTCATGTGTCTGCTAGTGGGGCAGTTACAGAATGATGGCATAAGGACTATGTACTATGGAAGTGTGGACTGTAAGACACAGGATGGCTTCTCTTTAGAAGAGATGCTTATCATGGACCTGGTATTGGCTGAGATAGAGGATCTAGGCAGGAGGAGGAATAATGGAAGGGTCAGGGATGCTTTAGCACACCAGGTCTTGCTCATCCTCCTTTCCTGACATGCTCTGGCTAATACCGGTCCATTCTCTCCTCTGAGCATCATCTGCAGCAGCTGTGGCCTTTGTTCTATTTGGGAGCATCTCTGTGACAGTGGGGCACCAGGGTCCCGTTGTTTGAGGTGATTGTCATGGTAACAAGAACTTTGTATCCTTGGGGAGTACAACATATTGACAAAATTGAGTCCAGAAGCTCAAGAACTCCAAATGTGCCAATGTCCCAGCAGGGCTGTTGATAAACAGTGCTTCATTCAAGACTCAGTTATACTTCCTCTAGATCCCTTACCTACTGGCATTTTTTTTTAAACGAAAACCAAAAGAAACTGTGGCATCAGCTCTATAGTTGTCCAGACTTTTTTAAAAAATCAGGTTCTCCTTATCTCTCTTGCTCATACCCATGGGGATCTGGTAGATGAAGAGCCAAAATGCCATGTTTGTCTTGATTTTTGTAACCTTTTGATACTATTGTTCCCGGCTGACTTCAGCATTATCACTATCCACCCTGACATCCAAAGAAATCAAAGGTTTGATGAAGAAAAGGGAGCTCACATGGAGAATGAAATCCTCCTTGATTTTCTAAAATGAAGGGATTTGAGGCCCCAAAAGGGTGAGTGATGTGTCTGTGTCACCACTCTATACAGACACTGGGCTAACAGGACTCAGTCAGGGATGAACAGTTAGACCTACAACCCCAGGGAGCAGACATGAAATGGGGCAGGATTGTGTGTCCTCAGACCCCCACAGTGGTCCCAATAGAGTTCTGGTAGCATTAGGCAATGGGGGACTTTCTCCAGCTTCTTGGAGTTCTATGTAACTCTTGCCAGATCTCTGCTGACCAGCGATCATCCTCTTGGGAAATGTTACCAGTTGACTAACACTCAACTCCACTGTGTTTCTGCTTCCGGTACCCAAAGGTGTCATTTAAATTGTGCTTGGTGATGTCTGACACAGGGTGGCCTCACAATGGTGGTCGTATCTGTTCTATGTTGTCCCTCTACCAACTTTGTGGACCCTGAGTGAGTAATTATGGGTGAGGTAAGTGTGCTGGGCAGAAGGGCAGCCACTATGCTCTGAGATATACCGGGGTCTTCTGGGACAAATCTATGAAATATTGTCATCCATTATCCCTATGTGGAGACGAGGTATTTTCTGAGGAGTCAGATCATTTGTTGGTTGGTTGTAGGGTTTAGACTTGGGGCTCCTGAATCCAAGTCTAGTGCTCTTTCTACTGTCTCATTAAATAGAATTTAGTTCAATGGTTATTTTTCAACTATCTGTGATATGTCAAGCATGATATTAGCTTAAGCAATGTAGGGAAATAAATATGGTTCCCTCTCTCACTGATATTTCAATCTAATAAGAGGGATAGCAATAACTCTGCCATAAAGATTATGATGGAGAGATGTTCTTGTTGAAGCATGAACAGAAAGGAAGGATGGCTTAGTCTTGAATGAGTCACAGGCAGGTGGCTTCACAGAAAAACCAGAATCTCCAGCCAATAGCAAGAAAGAGCTCACCAGAGACAGGGTGTGCTCTGGCACAAAGAAGAGATAATACATCATAGCATGGTGGTATATTAGAGCAGGTGGGTATGCCATGACTTGGTGATATGGGATAACTGAGTAGTATGGGATAACATGGTGCTATGTTACGGCATGCTGATATGGCATGACATGATAGTAGTGTGGTGGTATCATGGTGTGGTATGATGGTGTAACACAGCATGGTGGTATCTTATAGCATGGTGGCATGGCATGGTGTGATGCTATGTTACAGGATGGTGATATATTGCAGTGTTGTGGTGTAACATAACATGATGGCATGGCAGAGCATGGTAATATTTTATGACACGGTATGATAGGATGTCACAACATGATGTGATGTCACAGTATGAAAGTGTGTCATGGCATATATCCTGGTGCAGTATTGTACCACGGTTTGGTGGTAGGAGGATTGCCTGAGACGTGTCAGGAGATAGTCACATCATAACCAGAACCCACCTCCATCACATCCATTTTCTTACATTTCTTGAATACTCGGCAGTGAAGAGGCTGGGGAGAGTATCTGCTGTCCTTCTGTCCCTCATCCCAAGTGCTCTGAGCAACCCACCCTCAGGCTTTTCACTGCCATGGAGAAAAATTCACTCCCCCTCCGAATAGTGACAGTTGGAGACTGGTGGGATTTGGACTGACTTCTTCGTTCGGCCTGCCATCTCAGCTTCCCAGAAGACATTGCAGTGAGACTCCACTGCCTGTCACTCTCCACACTTACCTGAGGGCTCCCAGCTTTTGAATTTTCGTTTGAAGGCCTCTTTCTTAGTCAGTGTTCTATTGCTGTGAAGAGACACCATGACCGGGGGAACTCCTATAAAGGAAAACATTTCATTGAGGCTGGCTTATAGTTTCAGAGGTTTAGTTCATCATCATCACAGTGGGAAAAATGGAGGCATGCAGGCAGACATGGTCCTGGAGACCTCTCCAGCTGAAAGTTCTACATCCACATCAACAGGCAGCAGGAAGAGAGAGAGATACTGGGCCCGGCTTGAGCATTTGAAACCCCAAATCCCACCCCCAGTGACACACTTCCTCCAACAAGGCCACACCTACTCCAACAAGGCCACACCTCCCAAACCCTGTTGAGTAGTGCCACTCCTAATGACCAAGCACTCAAATCTATGAGCCTATGGGGACCATTCTTATGCAAACCACCACAGCCTCCACCTTCCTGAGACTTCCTTGCCCTCTTATAGTCTAGGTCCAAATCCTAAACTCCTCCAGCATCACCTCTTCCACGAAGCCCTGTTTCCATGCTCTGCATCTTCTCCCTGCCTGCAATGCATACCCAGTGCAGGCTGCCTGCCTTGCCATCACCGTGGACCTCCATTTCCTTTTTCCTGTAGGCAGGCTTCAGGGAGCATCTTCTAGATCTCCAATTCACCTACATACTGCCCACTGCCATGCCCGGCCATTGTAGAGATTCAAAGACCTAATGCAATGGATCCAAGTGACTTTTGTTGACTCATTTAAGAAAAGCATTCTTCTTTATTCTAACTAGAACTTTCCCCTTTCTTCCAAGGCAGAGGAAGGGATGGTGTAGATCTTTGAAACATTCTACTTACAGCTGACGGGCACATTAGGGTCCCTGTTATTACACTGGCACACTGAGCTGTGCAATGTGCCAGGGACCAATCCCCCAAGTCCCTGCCCTCAGAGAGTGTTCCTCCCCTGAAATCGCCATCAGAAACAAAAACCGGAAAATGACTGATAGGCCCAAATTTGAGTCGTGTTTCTCAAAAAAGCTGACCAACAGTCTCAGGAAGTCTTAAAGGTAAGAAAGGCTGAGTGACTCTTGCTGACTGCTGGTGGCCAGAGGTACATAGCAGTGAAATGCTAGGTGGCATAGGTAGGATTATGAAAACACACACACACACACACACACACACACACACACACACACACACACACACACACTCACACACGCCTAATAGTGGAAAGGGGTAGGAAAGCCTAGTAATCATCGTTGTACCCTGAATGTGTATGGTGGTAACAGTGGGTGGGGCAGGGGCAGACAGAAGGAAACTGTACTTTTGTGGACCTTTTCCATAAATCTAGAAACTATTACAGAAAAAAAAAACAAAAACAAAAACAAAAAACCTGTTCAGAGCCCTGTCTCTTTCTTCCTTTGCCCCTCCCACTGGAGGCAATTACCAATGAATACGCCCACCTGAGGCGTTTATTTCCCATGATTCTCCAGCCCATGCATGTCATCTCGAAACTGACACCAACTCAAACCCAGCTGCCCTCATTTCCTTCTGGGACCACTGAGCCTCTCCTGACTCTCCTCTACCACTTCTGTTTTCGCCGCTCTGTTCCCTACAGACTGTGGAACGGTTGACGCTTCTTCACTTCCTCTTCTTCCGAGGATTCCCCCTCCTCTGGGGACCCCCTCTCCTCCCTGACATGTTTTCCGAAGTCCCTCCTCCATCAGCTCTTGCCTAGCCCCGCCCTCCATCTTCTGTTGCACTTTCCTCAAAGGTGTTGACCTGCCCTCAGGATCAAAGTGGCTATGCTCTTCCAGCTATTGGTAGATCCCTATTCTCTGTGCTATGAAAGTCTCTGTTTCTCATAACATACCTGCCATTGCTCACATGGCTGACAATCTTGCATGTTTCAGAGGTTCCTGGGCCCCACGGTGTGTTGGGACCGCTGCCTGTGTCTCTTCCTACTGATCACAGAGCTTGCTCATTGCATACTACTAGTTCTGTAACCCCGTCTAGACGATATCCTCCTGAAACTCCTTGGGACTGTTGTTTCCTGGCATGTCGCATGCAGGATAAGGACATTCAGTGAGTTTTTTGTTTCTTCATTTTTAGGTTTTTTTTTTTTTTTAAAACAACTTATTCTGAATTCATTGTTTATTTTATTTTATGTGTACGAGTGTTTTACTTGCATGTATGTCTGGGTACTACATGCATGCCTGTTGATCCTCTGGTAATGGAGTAAAGGCAGTAGTGAGCCACCATGTGAGTACTAGGAATTGAACCTGGGTCCTCTGCAAGAGCAACAAGTGCTCTTAAGCATTGAGCCACCTCTCTAGCCCTCAATGAGTTTTTGTTGAATGAATGAACCGACATGTCTAATCATAGCATTACACAGAAAACACCAATGTTCCTAGCTATGTATGTTCCCAAGAGGGTAGGAATACAATGAAGCAGATCTTACCTTTGATGTGTGTGTGTGTGTGTGTGTGTGTGTGTGTGTGTGTGTGTGTGTGTAGCTAGAGTTTTCCTGCCTTGCCCACAGTCAGGACAAATCTCTCTCACCCACCAGTCCCGCAGCCGCTCAGACCCAACCAAGTAAACATAGAGACTTATATTGCTTACGAACTGTATGGCTGTGCCAGGCTTCTTGCTAACTGTTCTTACAGCTTAAATTAATCCATTTCTATAAACCTATACCTTGCCACATGGCTCGTGGCATCTTCACTTACTGCTTGTCATGGCAGTGGCTGGCAGTGTCGTGTCGTCCCCCCCCCCCCCGCCCCCCCTCCCCCGCCTTCCTGTTCTCTCAATTCTCCTCTCTGTTAGTCCTGCCTATACTTCCTGTCTGGCTACTGGCCAATCAGTGTTTTATTTATTGACCAGTCAGCAACACATTTGCCATACAGACCATTCCACAGCGCGCGCGCGCGTGTGTGTGTGTGTGTGTGTGTGTGTGTGTGTTTGTGTGTGTGTGTGTGTGTTTGTGTATATCGGGTAACACAATTCCAAGTGTTAGTTCACATGGTGACCACCACCCCCTCCAGTTTGCCAAGAACCAACACATACCCCAAGACAAAGCACTTACTTTTCTAAAAATGGGGAAATATCCGAGAAATTTAAGCGATTGGTCACCCTGTAAGAATGTCCCGACTCTAAGGTAGACTGTTAAGCCCAAGAGTCAGCACTTAAGTGTGCAGTGTCTGCTTGCCTGAAGCCGGGAAACGCTTGTGGCTTGGCTTATGGGTGCCTATTTGACATTCCACACAGCAGCTATCAGCTCTTTGCCAGGCTGCTTAGAGATCAGGAGTTGGGATCTCTCTATTTGATCATACACAGAACAGACAAGAAGACTTAAATGGTTAGACCTCCATCACAGAGCTCCTCTGACCTTGGCATACATACGAATGGCCCTGCTTTCTCTGCTTAGCTGTACATTACAACCTTTCAGGCATGATGGGAGCCTGAGACTCTGAATTCTCCAAGTACCCAGGCCAAGGTGAATGCAGCATACGTGTCAGGGACATAACACATGGGCAGTTGAGTCCCATGAGATTTTATTGCCTAGTAATGGCGTCACCGTCCTGGTTTGTGCAAATACACTCTATGTGACCTCCCACTGGTGAATCTGCCTAATGACATCTTACTCAGGACTTGTCCCTACCTACGGTCAGGCAACACAGGGCTGTGCTGTTAAATATATCTTTGGCAGTGAATTTTGAAAAATCTCTCTTTCAGTTTGTTTGACTGTGCTTCCATACTAGGAGGTGAAAAGGACTCTTTCTAGACCTCTGAACTGACATGCTGTTTCAAAAGATCGAAGTCAAGTTACACATGGCAGCTCACATCTATAATCCCAGCACTTGGTGAATGGAAGCAAGGGGGATCAGGAGGGTCAGGTCATCCTTGGCTGACTAGCAAGTTAGAGGTCAGCCTGGGTCACATGTGGTCTCAAAAGCACAAAATAGGAGGGGAAGGGGGTGGGAGGGGGGAGAACAAGGGAATCCGTGGCTGATTTGTAAAATTAAATTAAATTATAAAATAAAAAAAATCACAAAATAAATAAATAAAATAAAGGGAAGTCTGTCTTCTGAAAATTGTGCCTTCTTCTAAATTCCCTATATTGCTAATGTTCCTTCCCATCCCTTAACTGCTCTGTGATCCCTCCCATTCCCGGTATCTGTCCTCCCTCTTCTCTCCACCATCCATCCTAAAGCAGTTATCTAGAGACCCAGTCTTTGGATCCAGGCAGCCTTCCTGCCTGCCTGCCTGCCTGCCTTCCCTTCTCCCTTCCCTCCTTCCTCTATCATTTGTCCTGTCCCACCGTAGTTCCAGACATTACTAATCTGACCCAGATAGTGCTTCTAGCTCCTCTTCTGGGTCTCTAGTTTCTTAAAGTCCCCAGGCTTCACTTAGGATCCCATTTTGTATTCACTAGCTGCTGTATGATGCCATGAATGTTGTTGGACATTTCAAAACTCAGTATTGTTGCCTGCAAAATAGAAATATCCTCACAAAGCTGTTCTCAGAACTGGAGATACGCAGAGAGATGGGAAGAATAGGTATATAAATAGATGCATAAAGCTGGATAAAGGATCTACAAAAGAGGCTGGAACGTGGATGTTAGCTTCCTGCCTCCCAGTTCCTGAGACATTGCTATGGACTGGATGTGTGTGTGTGTCCTTTGCCAAATTCAGTCTTCAGTGTGGTGGTATTACATCGTAGGGGGAGGGGGCTTTGAGAGGGAGCTGGGCTTAGATGAGGTCTTGAGGATGCAGCTCCTGTGATAGGGATGGAGGAGAGGAGGAGGAGGAGGATGCAGCAGGAAGGCAGTCAGCTGAAAGCCAGGCAGAGAGGCCTTCCAGATCCCGACCACATCGGTACCCTGGCCTCAGAGTTCTCAGCCCCCAGAACTGTGAGGAAGAAATGGCTGTGTTGAAGTCACTTAATTTATGCTCTTCTGTTAAAGCAGTCTGAACTAAAGCAGATACTTTGTTAAGAAAATTGCCATGGCTCCCTATTGTCAACTGAAAAAGATGCCTCAACTCTTGTCTTAGTCCATTAAACCTCCCTTAGTCTGGCGCAGTCTTTCATTCAAGCCTGCACT